CAACACCTCTCTTATTCTGTGGTGTCCACAATAATATCCTGCCCCTCTAATGAGAGGCTATGAAAGGCCACAGTGTGTGCACCTTTGAGTCTGTTTGTTGGGGCTCCCAGGGGCCTGAGGTGCATGTGACCTCAGTGGGAGAAGATCAGTTCAGTGCTCACTCTTTCTTTCTGCAACACCTCTTCAGATGTCGCAGCCGTTTTTCAGCCATTTGTTAGAGGATTCTCAAGTTCCAGCAAGGGATGTGAAACTGGTTTAAATTCAACATAAACTGAGGAACTGAGAAGAAGTGTCGCATTACAAAGGAAATATAGGCTAATATCAAATGATCCTTTGATGCCCTTTAAGTGATAACAAAGTAAACTGAAGCTTAGACCTTTTTCTGATCAGGGTGACAGAACAGAGCTATCTGACACTAACAAATTGCTTTTTAAACCATTACGTCTGCCGTGGCTTCAGCCGTGCACTCCTTCGCTCAGTCAGCTACTGAAGGAGAAGTGTAATGAAAGTGAAATGCTGGCAGAGATAAGGCTCAGGTTTATTTCCTTATGCTTCAAAGCACAATTGCCCTTTCAATATTCACTCCCCTCAAATATTTGCATGCCACCCCTTTCCTCTGCAAACTCACCCTCTCAAAAAGACCAAGTGTGTGTGTGCTCCTTGTCCAGTCAAGCACCTGGAAAATATTTAGTGTATAAATATTGTGGGATAATTTACCTCGATCTGTGAAGCTGTTCTTTAGCTCAGCTTCTACCTTTTTAGAAACAAAAACATCCACTGCTTGCTTCCAATACTCCAAATATTAATAGTTATAGTAAAACCTAATAATTTACTGTAACAAATTGATAACTATATGCTTTTTAAATATGTTGATCTATATTTTTTTTAGCAGTTTGAGTCAAGAGGCTTTACTTCAGAATTTCAAATCTTAATAAGAAATCTGAGGAGTTTTAGTGTTTAGTGTATTTAACTACTAAAACAAAACCATCTAAGGCCCGTTCACAATGTGATACAACAAAATTGATCTGTGCATCTTTGTAAAACTTTTCATTCTAGAAGTTTGGTAAAGACTGTATGAACTAACCGCTACCCAGCCATGTTTGCACTAGTGAGTCACAATAGGTCATGGACTCTATTTTCTTTCTGCTGCACCCTCACATTGCACTGTCGTTTATATTTTGTTATTACAGAGGTAAAATAAGATTCTCTAAACAACTGAAGAACAAGTTCTCTGAACTAGCGAGCTGACTCACATTAGCTCAGTAGCCTAACTTGGTTGGTAATGGGACAGTAAGTTCTCATGGTTTAATGAAAACACATTTGAACTTAGTTTCTGTTAGAATCCATGAAAATTAGATTTAGATTCAAGTATTTCTCCATAACATTAACCATTAAGAGATTAAATGAACATGTTTAGGCATGCTTTATAAAGAGTTTAACAGTCTAGCTAAGCTCATCTACTTTCACTCACTTATTAGTCATTGACATTTTGTGTCATTACTAACAGTTGTAAGGGTAATTTTCTCGTCTGTAATAGTGTAAGAGGAGCATTGCATTGTGGGATTGTTAGCAGAAAGTGCACGTAGGCTATACTTTTTAACCCGAAGCACAGAACATAGAAATCTTATGTGTGTAACAACCAAAACTGTTCCGTCTTTGGTGGACACCTGTGTGTTACCCTGTGTGTTACTGTATCGCTCATAGTAAGAAGGTGACAGGGACAAGGCCTCTAAAGCAGTTATTCATATATATAATCTTTGGGTCTTTAACCTGCAGACAGACTACAGATTGCTATTTTTTTCTACTGGCTCCTTGGCTCTGTTTTATTTTCCTTCCACCTAAATCCATGTTGTGCACTTTGCTTGAAAAAGTACTTAATAAAAAAAAAATCAAATAAGAATAGCTAAATAGTTTTTTATTTGAGTAAAGCTTTTGTTGAGCCAAAGGGCCATACTTTACGCTGAATCTCATGCCGCTTTGCAGCAGAGTTGATTTATGATGTTTATCATCTTTAAACACATTAAATCCATATGTATAGAAAATAAGATTTTTTTTCCCAAAAGAACTGAAATGATAAATTACAGTGTATCGTCTTAACAAAGACTTTTGCATGTTGCCTGGTTAATCACCGGCTCCTCTGCTTTGACAGCTACAGCGCTGAGTTATTTCTCACATTTCCTGCCCCATGGGAGCATAGCTGTAGATGAATGAATGGTGTTTGCCTCTGCTCTGCCCAGTCCTCACCACTCACATACCGCCCGTCTGCTACTGCTACTGCCTTTACCACAGCCCATGCTGAAAATAATGTGCACCAGTGTTTGTTTATAGAATAACAGCGATTAGAATTTTTGGATTATGATTGTGATTAGGATGCTGACTGATGATTATTCTGATTGTTATTCACAGGGGGCAGTGAACAATGTGCGCTTTACTTCATACACAGGTCTTCTCTGTCAAAACGTCTATGTATTGTCAACTGAGGTGTGTTTTGCTTTTTGTCTGGGTGGGTGTTCAGTTGCTGTTGCAGTATCAGTAGTTTCTGTGATACTGATGGCATGGATATCTGGGAGGGATCTCCATTTCTTTTGTCCTCTTGACAGTTTTCCTGCTTGTCCACTTCCTTGAAGACAGGAGAGGAACCAGAGCTGATTGGAGGATTGGGCCTCGAGGTGATGTGATTAAAGGCTTCTTGTCTGGGCTGCATCCATTCAAATGCCTCACACACACACCACAGCTGCGTTAGCTAATTGAATTGTGAGGAAAGCAGACAGGATTGAAGGCACCAAGACTGATGCATTGACCAACAGAGTGGCGCTTGTGCCAAGGAGCTGAGCTACTGGCTATTTGTTAAGATTAAGCAAATATTTTCTGATTTCAGAAGCTTTATTTTCATATTTGATAAGGTTTGGTATTTAAAACATTGCCACTTTAGAGTTGTTTGCAATTGTGACAGTTTCACATATTTAAATTCTTGCTCAGTGCTTTGCTGTTCTTTCCTTGCCTTGTTTTGATGAACTTATTGGCAGTGGTAGAAGATGCAATCAGATCCCAGAAAAAGTAGCAGTACCACAGTGTACAGATACTTTTTTAGAAGTAAAAGTCCTTCATTCAAAATGTTACTTAAAAGTACAAAAGTGTTAGCATCAAAACATGAAGTACTAAAAGTACTAATTAAGAATTGCTGATGCATTTTAGGTAACTTATATTCTTATAATGTGAATTACTGCTGGGTAGCTTGTGAATTTTGCAACTATACTGTATTTATTTTGTATTAATCTGATTTTAAAAAGTAACTAAAGTTATAAATTAAATGTAATGGAGTAAAAAATACAAGTTGAAGTTGACGTATGAAGTAGCAAAAAATAAAAATGCTCAGGTGAAGTACAGAAACTATCAAACTGTATTTAAGTACAGAACACAATTAAAAGTACTTTCCACCACTCCTTCTTGATTCTACCTAACTTCCGCCTTCGCTTATTAACACGGAACACAAAGTACAACTAAAGCTGAATTAATTGGATCAGTACATTTGATCTTACTATAGTTAAGCCAACCTCATGTTGACACCAGAGGTACAGTCAGAGGATCACCAAGGTCAGTGGGCTTCCTCTTTTGAGAGCATGAATATCTGTTTGTCATAGGAGTTGGAGGTTGTGCAACCTGAAATAAAGTGATGAGCAGAGCAGCTGACAGACAGACGCTGCCATAACTAGAGCCATGCCTTAAGCAAGGCAGTAAATGAATTGTCAGAAATGTCAGCCAAATCAATAATCAATTTATTCAGTCTTTATCAGTCAAGCATCTGTCCTGTCAGACAAACTAGCACAAGTCTGAGACACAGTGAGGCCCTCCCCAGTCAGCCGAGGACTGTGCTGCTGTGGTGAGATGTTGTTTTTATGGAGAAAACTGCAGTCTCAGAGGAGAGGGGGTCAGGTAATGCTATTGTGGAGAGATGATATAACTGATGTGCTTGTTTTGTTGATCTCTTGGTTAATGAAGTGCTTCTCTGCTAAGTTACTCTGTGTGCTTTGCAGTTAATGTGATGAAGACATGACTGGCCCTGGGGGAGATCACAGTCCTGGCTTGGTGAGATTGTTCAGGTTTTAGGGGCAAAATTTACTGTTGTCAGAAACTTTGCCTTTTTCATCAACCACAGCCGACTCTGTCCTGCTCAACATGAAAACACGAGTCTGTTTTGTCCAAGTGAATGGAAGTGAATGTTGCCCAGATACGTAGATGGGCAACGCTTAGGGCTGCAATCCTTCTTTATTCTGCAGTCGACTGCAGCATTAATCTATTGTAGCTCATTTATCACGCTCAACAGGCTGCTGAAGAGGAGTCACTATGTCCAGACATTTACTCAGGTTAATCAACATGGCTATTAGTAACACAGTGTAGCTCAGCACTACATTAACGGTCCTTGTAGGAGGGTTAATGTAGCATAGTACAGTTAATGTAATTAAGGTAACTCCATCACCTACCCATAGTCATTGGGTTTACAAAAGAAAGAATTAGAAGGGAGATGAATGAACAGATTAGAAGTGTGTTCAGATGTCGTCACCTATAGTATGCAGGTGTGGAGCTGCTAATCCAGGGCAAGGCTCTGTGATTAGGGCAGTTTGTGAAGAATGATGATGACTACAGCTTGTTTGACTGGCTGTCCTCCAGGGAAAGAACTAGTGTTGTAAAGCTTGGTGTACAAGAATGCCTTCATGTTTTTGCCTTTAGCTGTTTTTAAAAATGACCAAGTAACTGAGACCTAGTCTGCGGGAGTGTTGTGTGGCTTCAGGGATTAGGGCAAATTAAAAAGCACCTGCTAGTTTGTTCTCTGTGAATTTGCTTCGTCAGAGTGAGGGTGTAGCCTGTGCATGACAAAGTCTGCCACCGTGCTCCCGATTTCCTTGCAGACTGACATGGTCAGCACCCCTCACTCCTACCCCCTCCCCCTTTCCTCCCTCATCCTCCTTCATCTTCTTGCGTTTTCTCTCTGTGAAGGAGGCATGTGAGTAAGGAAGAGGCAGGGCATACTAGCCGAGGCGGGGGGGAGTGGAACTTACGCTGCAGACAAAGCATACAAACACACACATGCTCATTCAGTTTAAGTGACACAAGTGCTGGCACCATTCAGCACTGAGCTGACTGAGTCACTGCGCTCCGTTAGCTGGCATGCCGCAGAGGAAGAGGAGTTTCACTTTTGGAGCCTATGGAGGGTAAGAATGAATATCCTTTTAATCTATAGAACTGCTCAGCCTCTCCACAGTTTGTGTTTGTGTGATTATGAGTATTTGTCTTTGTGTTTCACTTTCTCTCTCCCTGCTTGATGACTATGCATATTCTGTGTCTCTGCCTGCATGATTGTACCATTTGTACTGGAATGCCATTACATGTATCACAGCAGCCTTTGTCTTAAATGTCTTTTAAATGACATTTTTGTGGCTTTTTGTTATAAAGCTGTTGCTGCACATACAGTACACAAAACCAAAAATATATCACTGCATAGTTTATTTGTATTCTGTATATATTTATGTGTAGTTTGTGTCTGTGTGTGATTATCTTCTTTCATGCTTGCCTCTGATATATGTAGCATTCATGTATTTGGTTTACTTCAAACAGGAAAACCATGTTTTTCTCATATTGTCACTGAATACTCGTGCCCCCCACTGTATTTACAGCATGTCACCCACTTCAGACTTTGCAGGACAATGAATGGTAGACACACAGTTAGCAGACTTAGGATTGTACTGTGTTCTTCATTAAGTGTTGGGACCGTGTGACAGACCCATCTGTCCTATTTTCATCCTGAAAATCTAGTGAAATTAATGAGGTTTAAAATGAAGTCCTGGCATGAGGAGTGTAACTGTATCAAATGGGCCATCATGTCTGGATTGTTTATTTTGTAGTGGAGCAGATGAAAGGATAACTTCCTTTTCTGTTTCCTGTTTGGCGACACCCTTGAATTACTTTGTACCGGGCCATTTCCATAGGTCAATTTGACTGCTCACATCAGTGGGCGATCTCTCATACGCTGTGCCCTCTGCATCCCTTTGACATTCACCGAAGGGAATGCAGCCCTTCTGTTCTCTGCCAATCTGTCTGTCTGTCTTTGACACAGCATGCTCTATAATTTTGTCATCAATTCTTGATGGAACTGCCACTTAATTTGAGTTGTCGTATATTAGTTAGCAGTTCATAGCCCTTTCCTTTTGCTATTACACTTTTTGTTGGCAGCGGTGGGTGTTGTAATTTGGCAGAAGAAAGGTTTCTTAGTCAAGTGTAAACAGTGTTGTAACACTGAGCTTTTGTATCCTTTTCTTGACAAGTATCTACTTTTAACAAAACTAACGTCACATGCCTGTTGTATGTGATGTGGGACATAGAAGCTGTTGACTCTGTAGCTCACGGTGCCTCTTATTAAATAATGAAATAAACACAGCTACTATATGAACTGAATTCCCACCAGTAAGCCCAGTAGCAAGGCCTTCAGGCAACCAGAACAATATGTTGGAGTGTCTCCTAGAAAGGTTGTAAGAATGCATGTCAGTCTTTTTCAGAAACAACCAAGCGGGAAAAACCACATTGTTTTGAAGTCAGTGCAGGCCTGAATTAGGGCTGGTATTCTCTGGTCAGCTGATTTGATAATGTCAGTACTTCTAGTAAACAGGACTCTTTGGAGAAAAGGTTTTTCCCAGTGTGACCCACGGTGCTGGGATCATTATAGCATTGTGCGATTATGTTACATTGGTCATATTTACCTCATTAAGAGCCTCCAGTTGACCATGTTTCATTTTGCTCTGTGTAGTTTGTGGTGCCAACAAGACAGCATTTGAACTGTCTTAAAAAGATCAGTTATTTTTACACCTGGTGCTGTTTTTCATTAAAAGGGAGGCTTTTATTTATATTAGAGTTTTGATGATCCACTGTCCAGGGCCTATTGTAATGAGTATTGTTCCATGGACAAGAGGAAAACAACACAGAGAGGGTATTTTTTGCATGACAAAAGTTGATTAGACAACAGGGCAGAGTCACTTTAGAACAGGCCATTCAAGCACCTTACCGAGGGCAGTGGCAAAACAAACGGGAGATGCAGGGCAACCAGAGGGCTCTTCATATGCAGTCAGTCCACCATGCATATTTACTTTGACATTCACATTGCCATTCATATTCATATTCATAATGGAAAGCCATCTGTGGCAGAACAATGAGAAGCTTCAGTTCATTACCTGCTAAGTGTTTGCTTATTTTTTCCACAGTAAGAGAATAAAAAATTTAAAAGGGCTTTTTATCACAGTCTTGCACTTTTAAGTCCAGCTTTGCCTGCTCCAAACAGATGTGTTGCTGCAGTAATTTCAGACAGTTTCACTGCAACTCCATGCTTCATAACACAGTAACTCCTCAACAAATGATACAGAAAATAATACCACAACAAAGAAAAAGAAGGCTTACTAAATTACAATAAGGCTGCAAGCCCTGTAGTACAGCGTGCACATGTGTGTTTAGGTTTGACGTTTTTTTTTTTACTTGATGGAAATACAGTAAATATCTATAATATTACCCATTCCTTGTCTAATTAGTTCACTTATGGCTGCTTCTTTTGTCTTCCAGTCTCTCTTTAAGAAACAAACTGTCTGTATCTCCCTGTACAGCAGAAGGTTCTGGCACAGCTTCACCCACTGTGAAGGTGCACAGACAAGGAAAAAACAAACTGGAAACCAAACACCACAAGTGCTACTGGACTTTTTGTTTTCCAGTTTGTATCTCAGTGTGCAACAGGTTTTATCGGACAAGCAGGTCACAGCCAGCCGTAGGCCTGTGCCAATAAACCATGTAGCTGCAATGAAAGCCCTCTAACATTTTACTGATAAAAAGGTTTTCATGTGAAGCTGCTGAACAGTTCACTGTATATTAACACAGTAATTAATTACAGCTATGATGGCATACAAAGGAGAGCAGGTTATAAAGCTACAACAGTACTGACATGCAACTTTTGATAACAGCTGACCCAGTGAGTTCACTGTAATGTAGGCTCAGCTAGACTGATTGGAATATCTTAATGTTGTTAGTAGAGTGTTGTCAAAACAACACTTGTTTTCTTGGGGTGCAGCCATATACATAATAACATAATATACACAATAATGTTAAAATGACATTACAGTCTATCACATCACATGATGTTTGCTGGATGTGATAGATATCACAGTGCCTCCTACCAGTCAGTATAGCTGTGGTACCAGAGTGTGTGTGTATGTTTTCAGATTCACTGTATGCTACTGTACTGTAGCTAAATGAGGACATTCAGCCACTTTATGTTCATTTCTCTGTCAATGGGCTCATTTAGCCCACACTAGGTCAAGATGCAGTATACAGTCTAGATTTGGTCACGTTCAGAATTGTTTGACAGTGTCTCTTTTCACTGAAATTGCTCAGTTTTGCTCATGGCCTTGTGTCTCTGTTTATCTGTTTTTGACAGGTGCTGTCCTGAAGCACTTTCATAGCTAACTGCAGATTCAGATACAAGAAAATGTGCTGCTGTAGGTGTTAATGTGAGAAAGACCTTAGTCAGAATATACTAAACAGACTCACATTCAGCCTTTTGCCTCTTGTTTTTGCTGAGCAAAACATTTTGCTTCCATCTGAAATGTCTCAACAAATATTTAATGGATTGCCTTCAACATGTTCCCTAGAGTATTAATCCTTCTGACTTTTGATATCACCTGACTTGGATTTTTAACAAAATATCTTGTCAAGTATTGCATCAATAAACAAAGTAATGCCTGCACTCGGACTTTAAGCCATAAAATGTATTTCAAAAGATCACATTTTGATCCTGGTTGGAGCTTTTTGAACTCAGTTTGCGCCTTGGCGTCAGTGTGCAGGCATTACTTTTTCCATTGATGCTGTTGGCTTTTAAACAGCCTCTCACCCATACATGTGTATAATTACACCTCTACATGTGTTTGATGGATGCCTTGAAATTTAGTAATCACATGTTCCCCTCAGGATGAATTGTAATTACATGGGTACACCCTTAACTTTACCACCTCCACCATTAGGTCAACATTTCAAACGGTCCAGTGGTTTATGACCAGATACCTGTAGAACTAATGACATTCCCATCAGCCTCCGCTTTGCTTTCTGTTTAGTGTTAATTAGCAAATGTTAGCATGCTAACATGCTACACTAAGATGATGGCATGCCAAAGATTATATCTCCAAAACATCAGCCCGTTAGCACTAGCACTGTGAACATGTTAGCATGCTGATGGCTCAAAGCACCAACAGCCTGACAGAGATGTTAGCATGCTACATCTGTATGGGCTTTAGTGAATGGTTAATTACAGTGTGTGCAAAACCTTTTATCAAAGGTGTATTCTGTATCAGATGGACCACAGGTAGATGTGGCTGTTTTGGTTAGAGAGTAACAAACCCCAAACTGAACAGTGACCAAGAAAGAATAAATCAAATCAAAATCAAATCAAATCCAATCAAATCAAGGATGTAAGTCAACATGTTCTCATCTCATGCTGGGTGAACTGTAACACTGACCTTATATTTTAGTATTATTGCTTTGTCCACTAAAGAATACTGATATTAGGAGGTTATTTTCTAGTGCGCTTAAATTCTTTGGTGTTTCAGTTACAGCCCTCGGTATTTTGAAATAATTTGGTAAGAGATATGTTGGTTTCCATCTGGATGATGCCAGATTTATATTTCAAAATTTGCAAGGCAAGAGATGCATTTGTTTAAAGCTGGATTTCTTCTGGTGACCTACTTGCTGACTTGATAGCCCACAGCCGAAGAAGATGCTTAAAGGTTTAGTAGGGAAGCAGGGCATTACAAGTCGCACTCAAAGTCAAATTAAGCTGAACAAACTAATTGCCAAGGGACACAGCTGCTGACACAGTGATAGAAGACTCACCTTGAGCCTTTCTATCCTTTTCTGGTGTTCATTTCTATGGCAACCAGTTTATACCTAGGCAAGAGCATAGAACAAGCATGAAAAGCAATTTGCTAGTATTTGGCTACCACCTGCTGAGCTGTCAAATCAAGTCATATTTCATTTCCAGTATATAGCCAAATATCACAAATCACACATTTGCCTCAAGGGGGTTTACAATCTGCACAGCATTCGACACCGGCTTACATCCTCGACTCACCTGTAGATCTTCTGTGCTACTGTGCTTCACTAAATGCGTTGGTTCAGTCTTTTTTTAAAGTAAAAACTGGGATACACACACTGTGAGGTATAAATGCGCAAATATGACTAATGGCCCTTAAATTCATTAGCACATTTTTAAATTATAGCCCACTTGTGTCCACTCTAACCATTGTTTTCTCAGGGAAGGACAGAGTAGTGTTTGTTTTGCTGATAAGGTTGAGAGTTTTTCACATTTTGCTGTTGTCAGCTCTTTTGCTTTTTCTTTATCAGTGCTCGGTCCCGCTCAGTCCAGACTTACTTTTCTTTAATATAGGCTTGTCTTTACTATGCCTCTCAGGGATGAGTTAAAGCTGCAGTATGTAACTGTTTGTCAAATGTTTTTCCTTTAGAAATATTTTCCAAAACTTGTCTTAATGTGGAGAGATGCTGTCGAAGCCTCCTGTGACCCAGACTCATCAAACAGCAGTGGCATTACATAAACACATCTTTGGCAAAGAGTAAAAGTATTTTTGATAGGAAGTCTCAGCTCCTGGGTATAAAGTTCTGTCTTTGCAGCTGAAGGAACATTTCCTGTACTGGTTTTGATATTTCAATGTGGGGCTTTTCTCCAATAATCTCAACATGTCCTGGTTCATTTCACTTTACGCTATGAAACTTGAGAATGGATGAACAGTGAAGGGAGAGGTTTCGAAAATGTTATTCTGAGTGATGTAGATGACTTTGAAAAGAGCTTCCTCCTCCTCACACTTAGTTTCGTAAGAGCAGAGTTGACAGCCCGTAAGTATTTTGGTCTTCACCCAAGCACTAGTGTGTCTTCCGCTTCAGAAGGAGTACTGTTTACACCTGTCTGTCAGAGCTAGAGAAAATAGCACCCATTGTTGATTTGTAACAGAACAGCACCACCATATCCAGCTCAGTGCTGTTTTATCACAAGGCATCCTGGGATCAAAAACAGTGAGTGAGCTTGAGGAGCATCAGGCAATAGCCTGCTGTAACAACACAAGTCTGCTGATTTGTGACTCCACATATAGTGAACAAATACCCCCACCCCCAACCCCCAGGCCTCTTTCCTCTCACTAACACTGTTTTCTCAGAAAGAGGAAGCTTTAGACTTTCATTTATCCTTGGAGAATTTCTCACAATAAAAGAGAAACCATTTTTACTTGTGGTTCTTGTGTTACCACCTTCTGGATGAATTCATTATATATGAATGAAAACAAAAGTTCCTTCTATAGTTTGACTCACAATTTTGACTTTATGGTTTGTTAGAAGCATGACTCAACAACTCAACTCACCAAATGTCAGATGGATGGTGATGAAATTTGACATTAATAATCCCTGGAGGGCAAATTCTAATGACCCTGGTAATCCCCTGACTCTTCCATTAATACTCACAGCAGCTTGGACGTATTTCAACAGCTATTGGATGATTTGCCTAAAAAGTAGGTGCAGACATTTATGTTTTCTTCAAAATTAATTAAAAGTGTAATTAATACATTTGGTCATCTCTTATTGTTTGATCTAGTGCCACCAACAGGTCAAAATTTTAGGTTGCTGTGTCATGCAAACTGATCATGTACAGGCAAAGATGAGAAAAGGGTCTGAGCTCTGGCAGCGCTATAATGAGACACAGGGTAGATGACAGGCACAGGTATGAAGGATGAACACAGTCATAGAAGGCAAGGTCAACAGCAAGACGGAAAAGAAATAACAAAAAATCAATCTGCTAGAATTGAGGTTTGTTGTATATTATATATCTCCTCTCTGCTGTTTGGTGGTGTATCATTCTGAGGGGTCAGTAACTGCTGTTTGGTGGTGTATCATTCTGAGAATTTCTGAGGGGTCAGTAAACGGACGGTTCCAGTGGCAGCGGCATGAATATGAAACATTCCCTTGCCCCTGTGTCACCACCACCAGCCATCACAAGAGACAGGCCAACAGCCACGAGTCATTCACTGTCATCACAATCAGCTTTTTATGTTATTGATAGTATGCTGAGGTAAGAGAAGCCGGTATGTGTTTGTGTGTGTGATTGTTTTAGATTGATTTTTTCTACTACTTTTTCACTTGTCAGACATGAGGCTGAGATTTCTTCTGCACACACAGTGCCATCTGTTGACAGAAGGACTCTGGTCTCATCCGAGGAGCTGCCAGTACCGCCTCTTCTAGGTGTTTTCATTGGTCACCGCACCGACTCTGTGTATCCATAGTGGCATGATGACAGAAGACTGACTTTTACGGTCTCTTTTTTAATCTGACAAATGAATGTAGCATTAATGTGTTTGTTTGCAGGAGTTATTAGAATTTTGCTGATTTAAGACGTTGTTTTCATAGACTTCCTGAAACAAAGGCCAGTGTGTTACGAGCATTAGGTAAAATATTTCACTAGTTTGGTTTGTAACAGCTGTGTTTCATTTGTATTTGTTTCAGGGTGGACAAGACATTCACCAAGGCCAGAAGCAAATGGTGAGTTTTCCTTTAGCTTTTACTTTTGTCAGTAAATCAAGTAAATTATGATAGGGCAGGACTGCCACACATTTTAAAAAAGCCTTCTAATGTTTTTTGTAGTGTTTCAGTTTAATAAGCAAACAGTGGATTGCAGTTCATACGGCTTGTGCAGCTATCTACGGTGCTTTTCAGTGTCACCAGCTCAGACTTGCCTTGTAGGTTTTAAACGTGAATCGGTCACTGAGTACAGTGTAGGTAAGACGACTGAATCAGTAAAAGGCAGATGGGCAGCAGAAAGAGAACAGACACCCAGACCATCCTGCCATCTCTGTAGTCCTGGCAAGGTCGAAGTGCGGCTGTGAAGACAGGCAGGGAGCTGAGCCCCTCCTGCCACTGCAGATAGATCGCTTCATTTGTCTGGTCCTCAGCTCCTTCTGTCTGACTGCAGCAGGTTAAACACAGTATCATCACTCCTTTCCTCTGCTATACAAGTACACAAGGATTTCTCTTAGCAACCATGCCTGCATTACTCAGCAGTGGCTGGGCTGAGACTGCAGTTTGGCTGCTTCTACAACAGGCTGCTCTTTATGGTAAAGCACAAAACAAGAGAAAGCGGAACAAAGTAAAGATGAAGAGGAGAATGTAAACAGCACAGGAAATAAAAGACCTGGGTGTGATGGAGAGGCAGAAGGATAAAGGAAGTGAGTGGATGAGGTGACATGACAGAAAAGAACAGTCGAGTGCGATGTCTGCAAAACACAATATCTTCAGAACGCAGTCACACTCAGTTCCCTCATGTTAAAGGGCCTTCTTCCATTGGCCACTGTGGTCATACACAATAAACAGATGATCCTCAAGCCCTGTCTCCGCTCTCTCCAGGGGAGGCTTGTAATTGGATGTAATCCTGACTTGCTAAGCTCCCCTGATGGGAGAAAATGGGAGAAGAGTGTTAGTGTGGATAATGGCTATACTAGTTGTTGTATAAGAGCCTTTCACTTTGTCTCTGCACCGATATAAACAATAATCCAGTTCACTGCCTCTCTGGCAGAATGGATTTTTGTTTGTATAACATTCGGCCCGTTCTTGAAAACAACTTTGCCACCGATCCCACTGTCTCATCCATGCTTCAGCTCACCTGGCCTGCATCCAGGATGACCTTTAGGTGCTGCTGTTTCCATTAAGGAAAATTTCAGACTAGACATTAACAGCTATCTTTTAAAATGTGTGTGTTTTGCTCAGTGGGTGAAGGCATTCCTAAAACAGGTTACTCAAGCACTGCTTACTATTTATTACAGATTGTTAAAATGTGATTCCTCATGCTATTTTTATGATGCTGTCTAAATTTCAGCCTTATTTTAGCCTTTGTGTTCTACTTCTGACCATAAACACTTAAGAGTGGTCAGTGTAACCGCTCCTCTGTTTGTGTCCACTGATTTCCCACGAGATGTCACTCTGCATCATCCTCTGTCTGCATCCTCTGCACATGCGCTCAGCACTCAGCAGGCTGAGTGTCAGCTTGCTAGTGCATGCTCGGCAGTGTGCGTCAAGCTGAGCTGTCTGGGAGAGCGGGGATTTTTTTCTCAATCAGGCTAGACGGTCTCTCTGTGAGTCTCCTGTTGTCTGACTAAATATAGCACCAAAGTGACAAGCTCACCCCTGGTTCTACCCATCTCAGTAATCCAAATCCACCACCCAGGACTGGCACAAGATGCCTTAAAGACACATAAAGTTCAAATGACAGCAGGATATTGGAGGTTGAGACAAGCACCAGACAACTGTGACAGGACAGTCCCCTTTATACTTTATCTGATTCTTAAAGCTTTTCTGTGGCAAAGCTGTTCTCCCATTTTTAAAAAGTTCTCTTCTTTGCCTTCAGACAGTCTACTGCAGCAGTATCTTATGGTTTCAAAGACCGGGCTTCTGGTTTTGAAGAGACAGCTGAGGCCCTTATTCCTTATGTTTTTGGATGGGTATATTCCCAAGTATACTGTATGTTTGAGGATGTTTATATGCCACATGGAACCTCTTTATTACAAGCCACAGGGAGGAAGCGCGTGAGTGGGACTTTCTATTCCTGCTTTTGTCTCTAAATTTTTGTGAGATCATGTAGTTCTGCAGTTTGTTTGTTCTTCTTCTTTTGATTGATAACACATCATAGACCAAACCGTACGAAGTTTAATAGCACTGAATACACTAGTACCTCTTAATGTCAAAGAAATCCTCCCACAGTAACCCTCTGTTGTTGAAAAGGCACATCTGCATGATTGTGATTTCCCTGAGGTGGTGTGGGTATCCAAGGAAATCAGAACACTGACAGTGTGAGAGATAAGCAAGCTGTAAATCAGGACCCGCTGGTAGACATGGTGAACATGATTTATAGAAAAGCACCTGCTGTACCTGGCTTGTTAATGCATATTGAATATGATTAACTGTGAGAGGATGCGTCGGCTCAAAAGAACCCATCAAGGAACCTCTTCATGCACCACACCCAGCAGATAGTTTATTATTTAGAATTCCTCTAGCATTTGATTGAATAGCCATTTTGTCAGTGTTTTCTATTTCTGTAGCAGTATAATGTGCTCATACCTTCAAGCAAGTGAGTTCTAGTTTAGATAAGACATACTGAACAGGATTTCCATGTCTGTTTGTATACAGTAACTTTTAGAGGTGTGGTTCCCTGGGGAACAAACAGACGTATGTACTTTCTGAAATTTGTCCAGTACTGGCTTTTCTCTGATCGCAGCAGTAGCAATTTTTCTAGCTAGAGGACAAAAAGTGCTGATGACTTTGTATTTTCCAAAACAAACTGGTCATAGTCATGAAGTAGTTTTTGTTAATTCTCTGTGGCACCTGAAAACACCTGAAAAAAACGCCAAAGGTCATATAAAATGTTATTTATATTTGTGAGATGACCTACCACCAAAATAAAATGTTTTTTTGAGGAAATCAGATGTTTTAATCTTGAAAAATTGTTTTTCTCCATGTTTAAAGGGCTCATACTGCAGTCACATATATATAAAACAATTAACTAATATAAACACTGTTCAGAAAAATATTTTTACACCAGAGACAATCATACTTCCATTTGTCTAAAGCCTTCAGGTCAGTTTCAGAGGGCTGGGGGAGGATGGCCCAGAGATCAGAGCAATTCCAGGGTCTATTTATGTGGTAATTCCTTACACGTGCTCCTTGTATGTCTAATTGTTGGAGAACAGATGGCAGGAGAAGGTAGCAGGTGCTGCTTCTTCACAACGAAAGTTCTTCTGTGTCATCACATTTCACGGTGATGACACAGAGGAAACAAAGTCACGAGGCAGCACAGCTGAATGTGTCGCTGTCTGACCTCTGAAATACATTTTCACACTCATTATAAACAGTGTACAGTGTAAATAACTTTGGGAATTGCTGACAGCGATTAAAAATTAGCTGAGGTCAAACCTCTGGTTGACAAGAAAGCAAGATATAAGGGTTGTATTGCCACAGGAAACCATGGGAAATGTGAGCCTTAATTCACGCCGTTGCCCTGAGCCAGTTGTGAATTGGTGCGATACAAATAAATTTATTTATTTAGCCATTTATTTTAAAGCGACAATAGGACATGACTCTAGAAATGGTCGTTTTGGATGTCAGTTCACTTCTTTAGTCTCAGTTAGACTGCCCTGAGATTTAACGCCAGTAAAGAAATCGTACTGACTCTGATGATCCCTTTGGTGACTCATTTGTGATTTTTAATGACATATAGCATCTTTAGCCTTTTTATTTTTCATCTTCCGCAATATCAGAACAAAATTTACATATGTAGTGCAAATAACCAGTTGTTAGCATGATACCAAACTATGCTAGTAAACATTATACCTGCTAAATATCACATGATAGCATTCATATTGTTAGCATGTTTGCATGCTAATGTTAGCACTGAAAGTAATGCTGCTTTGTCTAAGCGCAGTCTCTCAGAGCCACCAGCAGCCTATTATCTGCTAAACAATTTACTCTCAGTATAACTGTGGGATAGCAAAACTGCAATGGAAACAAATGGTTCCACTATGTCAATACATTAGTAATTTTCATGTTAAAACAAGATTCAAAGGTCTGATATAACAAGCGCAAATAATTATTTACCACTTTCTTTGTTTCTCAGTGGTTACCTCCAAACCCAGCTGGGTTACAAGGAGAGAAAATCTACTGTGAGAAAAAGA